TAATGTGCAATATTTCATTTCTGCGGTGCCATATTTAAATTTCAAGCCTAATATTTAAATTTAATGCACAACATTTCATTTTTTATGACGCAACATGTCATTGTAATGTCCAATGTAAACTTTTTCAGCCACAATATTTCAGTGTCACGCATAATATCACAGTGTAATGTACAGTATTTCCTTTTTCTGGTGCAGCATGTCGTTTTTATGTGCAATATTTAATTTTTTTGGTGCAGTATTTCAGTTACATGGATAATATCTCAATTTATTGTACAATATTTTATCATCACGTGTGATTTTTACTGCCTCTTTATCATTGCCAGCATTACTTATGACCTTTTCTGGCAGAAAAATGTCCTTATTTTATCTTATATTGTTTTATCTCATCACAAAAACGAATCACTGAATTTTGACATTGTCCTATAAAAAACAAAAAAGCCCACAGACGAAGTTGAAGCTGCAGCTCCATGTTTTGGAGCTTCTCTGGGACTTTTTCTCACGTGCGCCACACTCACCAGCTGCTCCTGGCTCTTGATCTGGTCCTCCGCCTGCCTGGCCAGCTCCTCCTTGGCTATAATGGCCTCCATCCTCTCAGTCTCCAGCCGGGCCGCCTCCTGCTCCACCCTCCTCCTCTCCTCCTCCAGCCTCATGGCCCGGTCCAGCTGCTCCTGAAGCTCTGCGGGACAAAATCACCACGCTGGAAAAAAATCTATTAAGCAGGATGACGAACTAACTACTCTGGTTTTTAAGACGCTGTGGGGGGGTTTCTGGGGCTGTTGGATGATTTTTAGAGGAATAAAAGAGGCGAAATGTGCAGATTTCACAAGATGAACATCCCCAAAAAATAGCAAAAAGTAAAAAACTTTCAACAACAGTGTCGTGTTTGAATCATTTTACAGCCTGTGACTGATTTTTATGCATCTGTTTAGCGCATTTTGACACTATTTCTCGTGCATTTTTCTCACTTGTTGGTGTATTTATATCTCTTTTATATGCTTATAGCCACAGACAGTCAGTATTTTAAACATATTCTCCTCAGTAACTCTCAATAAAGACATATTAATAATAAAAACCAAATGAGCAAAGTGAAAGAGACTCCACATCCACCCTCTTTCATGTGTTGACACCATTTTCCAGTGCGTTTGCTCACTTGTTTATACATTTCCATCTCATTTAAGCACCTTAATCACACTCGAAAACAAAAAGCTATTTGATGCAGATTGCTGTGACGCTCACATCAAGTATATTTCTGGAGAACAAACATATTTTCCTCAGTAGCTTTTCACTTGAATGACATTTTAGACCTGAGTGAAAAGCTTCCACTCCCTCCGTTATCTACTATTTTCTGTTTGTTCAACCAAAGCGACAGCAGAGGGCAGTAAAACCATGTTACACAACAAACTTTGGAATCAGAAATGCTGCACAAACACATCACAGCTCCTGATTAACGCTACATAGGTTCCTTTTGAGGGCTCACACTATGCAGGAAACGCATCGGTTCTTGCATCCTGGTGAACTTTGTGCCCCGATTTGTGGATTTTCTGCATCAATTTATGGCAGAAATGTCGAATTTATGTGAAAGAAAAACTCAATTCAAACACCAGGGATGTAATTCCATTACCCAGAATACATTTAGTGGTACTTACAGCTCATCACTTCATATTTTGAAAGATGTAAGAAATGTCTGAAGCACTGCTGCATTTATCACAAAGGTTCCTTTTGTACTTCTGTCTTGTTTTTATTGTGGGGGACAAATGAAATCCCTGGATTCTAGAAGTAAAACTCTTCCCTGAGTGATTTTCAGTTTCGCTGATGAGCAGGTTTACATTTTTGTAGCTTCATACGACAGCTTGGACGTCTTTCATGTCCTCTACATTGTTCATTCTGTTTGTAGTGCTGCATTTATCTCACAGCATCAATACTGTTCATACTTTTTATGCACAGTTTATAATATTCATACCACTATTTACCTGTACTTGTACATTTAGATGATCTATTTTATACACTATCCAGATCGATATATTCATATAGTCGTGTGTTTATTCTGTTTATCCTGTAACATTTTGTATATAAAGCACTTCACTGCTGCGTTTGCACGTCTGCTTAGAAGCTAAACTGCATTTCGTTGTCTGAATCTGAATCTAATCTAACAAGCCTAACGTGGGACTCGCCGCCTCACCTCTCTCTGCTCTCTTGGTCGTCTCCTCGAACTGGTTCAGCTTCATCATCAGCTCGATCTTTTCTCTCTCCATCTGCAACTTCTCCGTCTCCATGGCCTCCCTCTTCTTCCTCTCGCTCTCCAGCTGGTCTCTGCACAACGCGGAAAAAAAAACAACAACAAAAAAAACACGAAAAGGCATTTAAACAAATGATATTTTTTGCTGATTTGCTGTAAAAACAATGTGATTTTACTGTCAACAGTTGAAAAAGAACAAATTACTTTTTCTTTTTATACCTGTTTCAGTATTTTATACTTTATTCAGTTTTACAAATGGAGTCTTTATCCTGTCTGGATGTTTTGCGGATCATTTTGTTGCTGCTTGTCTGAAAACTTCTGCAGCACTTTGGTGAACTCGGGGCCGTTTAAAAGCTGCTTTGTGAGTCAGTGTGATTAGATCTGAACCGGACCCACCTCTCCATCTTCTTCTGCAGCCGCTCCTGTCGGGCCTGAGCCTTCATCTGCTGGACCTCGATGGTGTCGGCTCTGCGGCGGCGGACGTACATGTCGTGGTTGCCCTGGGACAGGTCCAGGATGCGCTTGTTGATTCGCTGGCGGGGAGCGTAGAATACGAAATCCTTGGAAGGACAGGAAGAAAATGAGAAAAACAACATACTGGGGGCAGTTTGGTGACGTTTCATACATTTGTTTGTCTATTCAGGCTGCATTTAAAGTCACTTTGTATAGATGGAGGTACTTTTGATGTGTTACTGGTGAACTGATTGGTTTATGTTCAGTTCTCAGTGTAGCAGGGAAATATCCCACTTGCTATTCAGACGTTTATTCATCCCTGGACAGAGCCTAGTAAAACGCTGCTTCAGCATCTGCATCCTAAATGAGATTATACAACTTTAATGCCAGTTTTAGCTCAACTGACTTGCTGATACAGATGAAACACTTACAGGAGCTTTCTTGTCTATCGGCTTGATGAGGAATTTCCTTCCATCGTAAGAAATGTTCCTGATTTCACTCCAGGGAAATCCGATCTTTGGAGACAGCCTGGAATTAAGAAAAAGAAAGAAAAGAGGTGATTAGATATATTTAAGAGCAGAAATAAAAGAGAAAAAAAGAACATTTCTAGAAGAAACAATATTTAAATTTTTTAAAAAGTAATTAATTTAAAAAAATAATAATAGTCATCATCTTCATCATGATCATTTTTTATAATAATAATAGTATTTCATATATTATACATTCATCATCTTTATTACTACTATTTTTATCATTATAGCAAAAAGAAGACTTACAGCATAAAACCAGATATAACAAAGGGTAAAACCAGAAAGACAAGGTTAAAACTAATCATAATAATAACAACAGTAAATAAATAAAAATATAAATAAGTAGATAAATAAAGAGTAAAAGAGAATAAAATGGACAAATAAAATCAATAAAAATGTGTTCAGGAGGTGATTCAACGACGACAGACTGATTGTAGTAACAGAATTATGTCAATGACCTTTAAAAAAACAACAACCAGGCGGTCAAATGTTATTTAAAACTCGACCGACTGAGAAAGGTCGATGACTGCAGGGACGCCGGCCCCACGTCTACAACCGTCTGTCGTCAGCTCAGTGAACACCACTAATAGCAGCTGATTGATCAAATAGAGGATAACGTTTCACCAAATCTCAGGCTGAGCTGCTGCCCGTTAAATCATGAATACACAGAGATTTAGGGTGAAAACGGTCAACATGATGACGATTCCAGACTCACCTGTCGTCCTTGGCGTAGATGTTGATTCCCAGAGCGTCGACGCCGAGCCACAGGTCGGTTTTCTTCTTGTTCTTGATCTCAAAGAAGTTGACGCCGTACATCTCCAGGTCCTGAGCGATCTTCAGGTACTCCATCATGGCGTCCTCCCTGCTCACCACACACAAATTATTATTTAACAGGCATCACGGACAAACCCACATCTTCCTGGAGCAAAAACACAAACCACAGAACAGAATAGAATAGAATAGAATAGAATAGAATAGAATAGAGTGGATCACTATTGCCAGCAATGAACAAAAATGATCAACTCGTTGGGTTGGCATCATATAACCAAGAAGCACCAAGTTATAAGAAATATATATATATAAAGTTTAAAAAAAGAAATTTCATTAAAATAAATTTGATAAAATAAAAACAACATAAAATGAAATAACATAAATAATATAAAATGAAATGAAAATAAATGTAATTTAATTTAAAAGAAAAGCTAAATTAAATTTGAAAATAACACAATAAAAAAATAAAGGAAATTAAAAATATAATAAAATAAAACAAATTAAAAATAAAAATAAAATGAAATAAATTAAATTAACGTAAATAAAATAAATTAAAATAAAATAAACATAAAGCAAAATTAAATTAAACAAAACAAAGTCAAATCAAAATAAAATAAAATAAAACAAAATAAATAAAATAAAACAAAATAAAATAAAACAATTAAATAAAACTAAAATAAAATACAAATAAACTAAAACAGCCCTGTGAAAGTAAAAATGACATTTTTTGCCACTTTTCTCTTTTCCAGTGGAGACTAACGATGACTAACGAGGAGGTAAAATAGCAGAAAAACAAACACAAAACCTCTAGATGTTTGACGTGCTAACATTCCTCGTCTTTAAGAGTCAGACCAGACAGCCGGCTACAGATTTGGTGACTTATTAATGCTCAGTATGTAGAAAAAAAAGCTTCTGTTGAATTTCTAAATCAAGAAACCAACTCAGCTGCATGACAATATAAAGTTTTACGTCACTAAAAGTCCAACCGGAGTTCTTCTAAATGTGGATAAAGTTGTGAAGGCAGCGGTCGGGCTTCACTCACGGCAGCAGGCTCCGGTGCTCCTCGTGCCACCTCTGGATTCGTTCCTCCCACTGCTCCTTGGACAGCTTGTGTTGCTCCATAACTCTGAGTGAAAAGATTTAAAAAAAAAAAAAAAAAAACACAGCGTGAAGCGTCTGTAGGAGCTCAAACCGAACAGGTGCTGCATCAGCTCGTCTTTCAGGTCTGCTTACACCTTCTCCTGGCAGGTGTGAGTAAATGATCAAATACAGGTTATTGATTGAGTTATTCAGGGAGATGTCAGACTTTATTTATTGATTTCTCCATTTATTCACTCATTTATATATTCTAATCCATTCAGTGTATTGTTTGTTACATTTTTTTCTTATGTTTTTACAAATTTTGACTTCTTTTTTGTCTTTTTTGTCTTTTCTATTTTGATTTTATTTCTATTTAGCTTAATTTTTGTGATCTGTGAGTTTTTTTGACTGTGATTTATTTTGAAATGCTTTTCCATTTACGCTGCTGGAAAATGTGAAATCCTCCTTAAAATTAATATCCAAGATGTGTCCTAGATGCTGAGGTGTAATTATGTTTTCTAAAGCGAAGATGACACCTTACATTAAACCTAACATTTAAAAAAATAAACTAATCGCCATCGAACCCAGCAGAGTTGAATGAGCAGAAAAATGTCCCCTCAAAACTTAATCCATCTGTTTTGGGGCCTTTTCTTTGTTTTATTTGCTGGTTCTACAGTCTGACAGCAGCAAAAACAACGTAGACGGGAGTGATCAGAGACTGGAGTCCTTTTTGTGACGAGAAAATCACATTTAAATCCTTTTTTCTGCTCTGATATTCATCTTTTTAAGTCATTTTCTTTCAGCTGTTTCACATTTTTTAAGATATTTACTCAAACATTTCTAATCAACTTAGCTTCACATCTACCTCATTATTCCTGACACTGTGACTTCCTCTAATTTTCTACAGTTGTTTTGAAGAGTTCTCTGTTTTATAGCATCGTGCTGTTATTGCACAGCCTTGAGAAACTTTGCATTTCCCTGCACGCACCTGATGAGCACGTGACAAACAAGAACTCTTGAATCTTGAATTTCCCACATATTTCTAAGCATAGCACTGTTCATCAGCGTTCTTTTTACTTTCTCTTTGTACTCATGCCACATTAAATGGCTCATACTGGTGTAAATAAAGTCGTTCTGTGACTTTAAAGCAGAGCCTGACAGGTGATGCTCTGCAGGCGAGTCACCTCTTGGGCAGCAGGCGCTCAGAGTGCAGGTAGCCCTGCGGGTGAAGCTCTCGGTCGTAGTCTCCGAACTTGGCCTGGACGGCGCAGGAAGCCAGCAGGACGGCCGACTCCGGGGGACAGTAGATGTGGTCGGACAGGATGTCCTCCTTCACCTGCAGGAAGAAGAGCTTCCTGGTGATGTCCTGGATCAGCTCCTCGGAAATGTCCTCCGGGTACATCCTCACCCGCAGCTTGAACTGCAGCGGCGACTCCTTCTTCATGTCCTGAAGCATCACCTGAGCAGAAGGCGGAGGAGGAAGGGGACGAGATTAAAGCCGCCACTGCACAGCGTACGGGAGAGTATGGTCAATAAAATATCATGTAAAAACAGGGAGGAATGTGGTAGAAGAGGCACGAATGACTGTAAATCAGAGGAGCAGAACAGAAGATATGAACACATTAAATAGGAACAAAGTTAACATTTGTTTGTAGGAGTGGCACAGAGAGGAATAAAGCGAAGAGAATATAGAGTTAAAAAGCTTTAACGTCAGATGCATTTCTGGAACAACTGTCAGCAACAAGGAATTCACTCATCCTGTTAAAGGAGCTTAAATAATGCTTCTGTGAACATCATGTTTATCAAAAATTGTCTATTAACAACGCAAGAACAAAAAATAACCTTGTTTCAAAAATAATCAAATTAATTAAATGTGAAAAATGTGATAAAGTTTACAGAATAAAAAGAGACAAATCATGTAAATTAATCCTAATATCTAAATTCTAAATATCTAAAATCCGCTAAATGTAAGTAATAAATAACGTTATAGGTTAGAAACCTTAATATTTAAATTGATTCAGTAAATTTAATATTAAATGACAATATTTAAATTAGCCATGTGAAGTTATATAATAAATAATATTATAGGATCTTTATTTTAATACCTAAACTAGTCAGATAAATACAGGTAATAAATAATGCTGCAGGTTTGTAACCTCAATATTTAAATTAATTAGGTAATTTATACAATAAACAGTACTGTTGAATTTTAAAATTACCATTTAAATGATTTAGGTACATTTATATAATAAATAATATTGTAGAGTTTAAAAATTATATTTAAAATAGTCAGGAAAATTCATATAATGAATAATGTTGCAGGCTCATAACTGTAATGTTTAAATGAGCTTCATAAACAATATTGTAGAATTTTAAAATTACTGTTTAAATTATTCAAGGAAGTGAATCTATTGCACAATATTGTAGGTTTGTAACCTTCATATTAAAATTAATCTGATAAATTTCTATAATAAATAATATTGTAGGTTCTTAAACTCAATATTTAAAATTTTCAGGTAAATTTATGCCATGAAAAATATTGTTGAACTTTTAAATTAGTGTTTAAATTGGGTTCATTTCTGTCATAAATAATTGTGTCGGTTTGTCACCTTAAAGCTCTTTCGCTGTTCAATCAGAAAAAATCCCCAAATTATTTTCACAGTCGATCAGATTTAATTTGACCTTAAATTATTTGGAGTTTTACAAAAGTAAGAATTTTCTGATCTGCTAAAAGTCTAGAAAGAGCTGCAAAGAAAAAAAACTGCATCCCTCCTGGTAACCTGGTGAGGTCGTGTAAACAGAAAAACTAAACACATAAAGCCACAAACTCACCTTCTTGTCGTAGTCGAGCCACCTGAGGAATCCTCTGTTGTCGACATACTGCAGCCCGAAGTACCAGACCTCACGCAGGCCGATGGTTCTGGTGACCTGCAGAGAACCAAATCTTTAAAAAAAAAAATCTCCCTCATCACGTTTCTAATCTTCCACCTCTGAAGAATCAGCTGCTGGGTTATGGACACTGAGGCCTGTGGAACATCTGGAACCAGATAAACTGTTAATCACAGCTGGCTTCATGTCAAGTTCAAAGGTTTGATGAGTGAAAGTCAGAGAAGGAAAACGTCACGCTGCTGTCGGAGCTGATGTCACGTTTTTTAGTCCCGATACTGATTCTGAAGCTTTTTTATTTCAGGTTTCATGAGTGTGAGAATGAAATGATCATGAAATTATGCAGCTAAAATTAGTTAAATCATGATAACACAGAATAAAGCAAGTTTCAACGTGTAGCTGGATGTTCTGCTCACTTGTATTCACACTTTGAACTACACACATATATTAAAAAAACTGTTTATTTTATTCTTCTTGCTCACTATGTTCATGTATTGTGTTATTTAAACATATCTATTTATAATACATTTATTCATTATATGCCTTATACATTAATTTATCATATATTATTTATTCATGTATATTTTTATTTTATATTTATAATGCTACATGCTTTTTTAAAAACTGTGTTCATTACCTGCCTGCTGTCTACTATCTGTAATAAAGACTTAAAAAAAAAAAACCTGACCATATAAATAACTTTTAGAGAATAAAATATGGATATTTATCAACGCATTTGTTCAACTTTAAATAGAAAGTGGTTAAAAATTGCAAACTTGAGGTAATGTTTGAGCAACAATATCAATTAAAGTATTAAAGAACGACTTGTTGATTCCTGCATCACATATTTTCATTAAGGTGCTCACAGACAGTTTGTGGTCACGTCACACCGGCACCGGCCTCCTTCCATCGCCTCGTTGTCTGTTTCAGGCCTGATTTGAGGATTTTGTCGTTTGCTTTTTAGATTTGAAATGAGTTGGAGCCGCCATACTTAGCAGAAATCTGGTCAGGAGAAGACGAAGACGGTTCACCTTTCGTCAGGACCCACATCTTCGCTTTCGCATTCGATTAAAGTCAACACTTTGACTTCACCTTTTATTGTGCTGTAGCTTTTCCCTCCTATTTTACTGCCTTCTTTTCTTCACATTTGTGTTTTATTGCGTTCTGTGGCCTCCTGTGGAAGATGTGCAGCACTTTGGTTCAACTTCTGCTGATTTTAAATGCGTTTTATGAAAATCAATCTGCTTATAAAAGTGCAAAATCCAGACGTGCAACATGAGTTACACGTTTAGTTTTTACATTTAAATACACCAAATAAGCTTTCTTACTGTTTTTATAGATTAAACTTACTTTCACAAAATGTTTAGATTTGAATATTTCTTTCTCTTTGTCTTGATTTCTTTTGAAGTATACGTATTAGATCTGTACTTACTAATGCAGTGTTTTTACGTTGCTGTATCACTACAGTCCATTTGCTAGTAAATCCTTTTTCTTTTTTCTTTTTCTTTTTCAGAATTTAACGAGTGCAGCTGTTTGTTACGTAAAACTGTGAACCCAGAAGCTCAAACTTTGAGGATTTCACTCTGTATAAACAACAATATGTGCTTTGTGAGCCGCCGCTATAACTCAACTGGTTGAGCCGGCGGCCCATGTACCGGGGCTGTAGGCCCCGATGCAGCGCTCATGAGTTCGAATCCCACTCATGGCCCTTTGCTGCCAGTCCTTCCCTCATTCTTCTCCCCACTTTCCTGTCTCTCTCTCTTCACTGTCCTATACAATGAAGGCAAAAAAGCCAAAAAAATCTGTGCTTTGTGAACTGTTTGATACAGACCTGGTCGAAGAGCAGCTTTCCGGTGGTTTGGGACTGGAAGGAAAACTCCAGCTCCGCGTCCATCGAGGTGACGCGAACATTGACCTGTGGCGTGAAAAGGTCATGTAGTCAGGTGAGCTTTTACCGTTTGGAATCCATTTTCTCAACGCAGAAACATTCCAGCTGCTTTTTTTTTTTTTTTGCTCCCCATTTGTGATTGCATTGTGGAAAACGACAGAAATAAGTGTGTGAAGGAGTTATGAAGGGGATTGTTCATAAACCGTAATTGCTCACTATCTCATTAGACTTTGGACCGACTCCTGCGAGGTGCCGCGAGGTTGCACAAAGGCAGAATTAAACATGGAAATACTCGCTGCGTAGACTCGGACGTTAACCTGCTCTGCCTAAAAAAATTTTTTAAAAAAAGCAATCAAACTGGCACAGGAAGGTCACTTTTAGACAGAAAATATTGATTTAATGTGAATATATTCCAACTGGTAGAAGTTACACAAGTGTTTTATGAAGCACAAGTCGAGCACGCCCCGAGTGTCATAAAGATAAACCCGCAAAGAAAAAAAAACTGGAACATCCGTTTATGAAACCTTCCTCGATCACATGTGTGAGATAAATGGGTGATGCCTGACCTGCTCTCCAATCATTGACTGCACATTTCAGCGTTACAATCAATCACTACGTCGCTCCATTGAACTCCAGAGGTGCTGTTTTTCTTTTCACTTATCTACACTTGAATTCTTTTTTTTTTTCATGTTTAACTGTCAAACAGAAGCGATATCTGCTCCCACGACTTAAATTTTGTTTGATTTCACACACGTCAACCTCTTTCTCCTTGGAGAGTCAACAGAGGTTTCTTATCAGTTCCCCCACTGATGCTGAGCTCTTAAAGGACATTCATAAAGCAAAGATCACAGGAGCTTTCTTTGTTTTAGTGCGGCAGAATTAAACCACGCAGTCAGGAGTTGCTGCCGAATGTCCCCTCCAGCGTCCTGCAAGTTAATTATCATGATTATCATCTGCTAGGCGGCCGAGCTCGGGGCGCTTTGGTTGCACTTTTCTGTCAGGAATGTAAGAGAGCAGCGTGGGTCAAACTCTACATTTGGTTAATGAGTAAATGCCAAGACGGACCGGTGAGTCTTGGAAACAGAGAAGAAAAGGTGCCAAATAAGCAACTCGACTACACACAAGTGACTTTTTAAATTCACTAAATGTATTTCAGCGTAAATACACCAACAAACGTGCCCCTTTCTGGATGTTTCTGTGCCTCTTCTCTATCGTTTTTTTTTTTTTTTTTAAATGTTCAAGTCTTACCGTTTTGGGCATCTTGGCTCCGGTGGGTGTTCGAGCTCCGGCAGGACAAAGTGCTTCCCAGGCGCGCCGAGGCTGCAGTGGTCGACTCCCAGCAGAACCTGCAGCTGATAAAGAAACGTCGCTGGGCTAGTCGCTGGCAGACTCAAGGGCAGGGCTGGTGTCCTTTGAACTCGGCAGCGGGTCGCTCGCTGTGACGTGGGAGGACTCGACTGACAGATTTTTTTTTTTTTTTTTACCTGCAGCTCAGCTGGCGGCAGCAGAAAGGCTCCACCCAGAGACAATCACCTGCCTCAGCACCTGCAGCGACCTTTGATCGGCCCTGCGAGGGTATAAAACACCGGACGGACTATTTATGTAAACAGTTTTGGAGTCATGAGCTGCCATAAAGAGGTCGCGTTAAAGTCGTTGCTTCTATTTGTGGCAAAACTCGAGAGAGACAAACTGTAAGGAGCTGGAAATTGACAGATTTTATTGAGGATTGTGCAAAAATCAACATCCACAGAGCTGTTTTCTGATACATAAATAGTGTTTGATCGCATTTAGTGACAACATTTCAGATTAAAACTCAGACTTGTGGATGAGTTGATTAACAGCGACTGAATCAGTAACTTATTTCTCAGTCATGTTGTGATTTGGTGCCATATAAATAAAGCTGAATTGAACTATAAAGCAACAAGAACAGATATTTTGAATTCTATAAAATCAACAGAGCTGCAGATGCATCATTTTCTGATACATAACTAGTATTTAATCGCATTTAGTGACAACATTTCAGACTAAAAACTGAAGTTCTTGATTAGTTGATCAATAGAAAATCAATCAGGTACTTATTTGTCACTTGTCAAGCAACAAGAACAGGTATCTTTTTGTGTCCTTTTCCACTACAAATGGTTTATTTCTGCACAAAACAAATCTTTTCTGACAGTTTACCGAACGAATGATTCTTCAAATTGTGAATTTAATATTTTGAACTGTACAAAAATCAAGTTGAGAACAAACCAACATCCACAGAGCTCCAGATTCACTGTGTTCTGATACATGAATAGTGTTTGATCGCATTTAGTGACAACATCTCAGATTAAGAACTGAAGCTGCAGATTAGTTGATCAACAGAAAATCAATCAGGTACTTATTTCTCACTTACAGAGCAACAAGAACAGGTATTTTTGTGTCCTTTTCCACTACAAATGGACTATTTTGAGCAAAACAAACATTTTCTGACAGTTTACCAAACAAATGATTTATCAAATCGTCCAAATCTGTAAGCACAGATATTTAGTTGTTTGCTATTCCACTGGGATTTTAATATATTAAACTGTATAAAAACCAAACTGAGAACAAATCAACATCCACAGAGCTGCAGAGTCACTGTTTTGTGACACATACATAGTATTTGATTGCATTTATTGGTAACATCTCAAACTAAAAACTACATTTATTGACTAGTTAAGTGACAGAAAATTAATCAGCAACTTATTTCTGACTAATCGAGCAACAAGAACAGGTATTTTTTGTGTCTTTTTCTACTACAAACTGATTATTTTGAGCAAAACAAACATTTTCTGAGTTTACCAAACAAATGATTCACCAAATTGTCCTAATCTGCTGTGAATTTAATATTTTGAACTGTATAAAAACCAAACTGAGAACAAATCAACATCTACACAGCTGCAGAGTCACTGTGTTCTGATACATAAATAGTGTTTTATTGCATTTAATGGAAACATCTCAGACTGAAATCTAAATTTGTTGACTAGTTAAGCGACAGAAAATGAATCAGCAACATACTTCTCATGTATGTTGTGATTTGGCACCATATAAATAAAGTTGAACTGAATTATAAAGCAACAAGAACAGATATTTTGTTGTCTGCTTTTCCACTGTGGATTGAATATTTAGAATCTATGATCAAACTTATTTCTCATTCATCAAGCAACAAGAACAAATATTTTTGTGTCCTTTTCCACTACAAATAGAATATTTTGGGGCAAAGTCTCTCACTATTTTCTTTCATTTTATCGAACAAATGATTAACCAAAAATCACGTTGAGAACAAACCGACATGCACAGAGCTGCAGATTCACTGTTTTCCGTTATATAAATAGCATTTTATTGCATTTAGAGACAACATATCAGACTAAAAACTAAACTTACTGATTAGTTGATCGACAGAAAATGAATCAGCAACATATTTCTCACTAATCAAGCAACAAGAACAGGTTTTTTTTGTCTTTTTTCCAGTATAAATTGCATTTTTTTAGGCAAAACAAACATTTCTCACTATTTTATTGAAAAAATTATTCATCAAATTGTCCCAATCTACAAGAGCAAGTACTGTTTTGTTTCTGTTTCCACTGTAAATTGAATATTTTAAATTGTATAAAAAAATCAAACAGAGCAAATCTTGTTTTCTGAGACATAAATACTATTTGATTGCATTTAGTGGCAACATTTCAAAATAAAACCCAGACATGCTGACATTTTACAAGCAAATGATTCATCAGATTGTCCCCTTTTGTAATGAAAATAGTCACAGACAAACTAAAACCTCATTTAGCAGCATCTCATGTGTCTTTTGGTGAAATACAATCTGTTTCTAAATGTGCTTTAACTGTTTTTGTTTATATGTGCTCTGACAAAAGTAGAAAATCACTGAAACCTCCGATTATACTCTGCAGCTACAACACAAAACATCTTTACTTCTCAGCTTCACTGTGCACAATGAAGCTCTCACAGCTAATAAAGAACCATGTAAACCTTCACTTCAAGTACTGAGGATCCTGTGTTTTGTTTTGCTTTTTTAAACATTTGATTACGATTGTGGTCAAGAAATAAGAAAACAGGAGCCTCGTCTACACCGGGACTCCTTTTCACAGCTATGTTGAAGAACAAAACAAACCAGCAGGTAAAGTGTTGTTAAAACTCATCTTTGATTTGAAACTGAGGCTGGTCCTCTGGTTTGAAGTCTTCGTTGGGACTTCCGTCCTCGTTGAGGATACGTGACGCTGTGTAACCCACGATGGGATACTTGGTTTTGTACGTGTCTTCAAATATGCTGTCCAGGGACTCCAGCTGCTCGTCAGTGAGGCCCGACTGCATGGGAAGATGGAAAACAGGAACTGTGATCACTTCTTGTGAATTCTACTACTTCTTGGATCAGGTTCTCCTCATCTGAAGCAGGAGTCTAAAAATGGAGGCTGGAACATGTTGAACAGCCCACTGATGCAATGCTGTGACTTTTTTGACTAAAATACACTCGACATTTACTTCAAAGCACATTTTAACACTTGTAGCACCATTTGTCAACTCAAATCCAAGTGCCAGGAGCTAAAATGCATCAGTTTAACCAACACTTCTTGGTGTTTCCTGCTGGCACGGACAGAAACGACATCTAAACTTGAATCACCACCTTATGTTTATGTTACCTTTGTTTGTCTCCACTGAACAGTGAAGTTGCAGTTTACAGCCATATTCGTCCTGACTCATAATATGTGGTGGAGGTTTTGGAGGAATCTAACAGGTGGACATTCAGTAGCATCTTGCAATTTTGTCGTTTTTTGTTGTTGTTGTTGCACCGAGTGATGTTTTTAAAGAGGTTTTTTATCAATTTTAACTTATTTATTTGAAAAGGGGAGAAGCACATTAATCAGCATTCAAATAAATGTACATGTACCCAAATTTTCATCTCTAGTTCCTTTACCCGATGTTGTTAGGCAAAGCTAGCATTTCTAATTAGATTTTTTCTTTTCTAGAGTTTTATAAATAGTGTGTGGCTCAAATCTGATTCTGTTATTTAAAAAAAAAAAAAAAAAAAAAAAGTCTTTCAGGAAACTAAGTTCACTTGCTTTGTTTTTGCTGAGCGTTAGAAATTAAGATCGATAATGCTCGTGTGTAGAGGCTAAAATCAGGATTACAGCCAGGAAATAGTTTAGCGTAAAGACTGAAAACAAGAGGAAAATATTAGTTATGTTAATCTTTGTTATGGAAATCAGAAGCCAAAAAGCAAAAGTGTTGCAGTTCTTCAAATGTCCACTTGGGGCTGATTCAGAAGTGAGTAAGTCCCCATAGACCCCCAAGTTAAAATCCTCAACTCTACAGCTGAAATAAACATATTTGCAGCCTGGTACAAAAACTGTTTTGGTCTCGATAGTTTTTTAATCGATAGTTTAGTCATTTCCCTAATCATGATAATTGTACATGTGGTTAATTTTTATTTAACAAACCTGTTTAAACTGTATTAAGGCTCATAGTCATGCACAATTAAAGGTGTGACCACTTTGAGTGTCTTCACTGCCACAACAAGGCCTTGTGTATCGGACAGAACTGATTTTGCAACTCTCTCTGGCATGCTTTCTTCTCAACATCAGCAGCCAAAAAGGCACAAAACACTGACAAAACATTTTAAAACATCCATCCATCCATTATCTATACACCGCTTAATCCTCATTAGGGTCGTGGGGGGGCTGGAGTCTTTCCCAGCCAACTTAGGGTGAAGGCAGGAGACACCCTGGACAGGTCACCAGTCTATCACAGGGCTACACTTAGAGACAGACAACCAAGCACACTCACATTCACACCTACGGACAATTTAGAATCACCAATTAACCTCAACATGTTTTTGGACCTTATGGGAGGAAGCCGGAGAACCCGGAGAGAACCCACGCTGCACGGGGAGAACATGGAGACTCCACGCAGAAAGATCCCGGTGCCCCCACCGGGACGCGAACTGGCGACCTTCTAGCTGCGAGGCAACAGTGCTCCTATTTAAAACATTCATAACTGAAAGCAGTAACATAATTAGTCACCCTGGTTAGCGATGACACTTGAAGGCAATGCAAGCAGCAACCTCCATGGCTGAAAAATGACGCGAGTGTGGCAAAAACAAACAAAAAAATGCAGTTCCTCGAATGACCACTTGAGGCTGCCTCCTGACACGAGTCGATCTCCATAGACCTCAATGTTAAAATGTCGAACTTTACAGCGGAAATAAACATGTCTACAGTCTAGAAGTAAAAATGTTCTTGGTCTCTATTGCTAATTTTATGGTTCACGACAACAATATACGAGGTGAATGTTTATTTAACTCATCGATTTAAATTGCATTAATGCTTGAAGTTATGCATAATTAAGGGCGTGGCCACTTGTGAGACACGTGAGGGTCTTCACAGGACAGTCCATGGTCCAGAGATGTTTGCACTACCTCCACCTCTTTGCTCAGTTTTTGGATTAGCCAAGAGTTAGGAGGAGTCATTAACTGCTGAGATGACGACAGCTGGAATCACCACCATGAGCTTCAACAGCGCCGTGCAGGTGACATCAAGGAGGGTTAGCCCATCTTTATAAACAGTAATCAGTCCAAAGGTTGACAAAAAAAAGAAAAAAAATCCACCCACTAGCTCCTCTGAAGCTCACAAATGAGCCCGTTTAAGATAGTTTTACTCATAAGATCCACTTCTTCGTGTTTCATCTCACTCCCAAAATACCAAAATGTTCCTTTAAGGCTATTTAAAAGATCTATTTAATTATTTATATTTGTTTGAAATTCTGAAATCATAAAATATTAAAAGGGACAAGACGATTTTGTTGCTATTTATGACCCTCAGTGTTATCGGTGATGCGAGAAGGTTTTTATTGTCTCAGTGCTTATCCAAGCTGTTTGGCTTTTTGTGTTCATATTTTCTTCTTTGTAAGAGTAGAAAAATGTAATAAATAACCAGAATGGTGCATTCAAGGTAAAATGTGCAATTAATATGGCGTTGTTGCTCAATAAAGGAGGGGGTGTTTTGCAACAGGGTGCCACATATCAGCGTCCCCCACCCATGGGAGGGAACCACAACGCTGCAGGGAGGGTGAGGTCGGCCTGCACTCACAGTGTCTGACGTCAGGTCTGCAGGGTCCAGCGACATCTTGGCCACGGCTCGAGTGGAGTCCTTCCCCACCAGGGCGTTGTACGGAGCGTCTTTTCCATAAAACTCTGCAGGGGTGGAAGCAAAAGTCTAATTTAAAGCAGTGCAGTGAACGCAGCATCCAATAAATGAGTGGATGAAGAAAGGCCTGGTCTGAGTTCAGATCAGTCTGTGAGGGAGACACTTCCATCTGACGCAACTCTGCTCTTCAAACGCTATTAGTTTGACTGTAGTGTTTTAGTGATGGCTTTTATTTACCTTTTTGGTCACTTTATATCATTTTGTATTTGTTTTTGGAGTCATTTTGTATCCCTCTAAGATTGCTTAGTGTCTCTTTGTACTTGTTATACATTGCTTTGCAACCATTTTGCAGTCATTCTGTTATGTTGCATCTCTTTAGGATTGTTTTGTGCTGCTTTACAGTCACTTTGCATTCATTAGTAGTGAGTTTGTGTTATTTTGCATCCTTTTGTAGACATTTTTTATCCTTCCAAGATTGTTTAGTGTCTCTTTCTACTTGTCTTGCTTTGCAGCCATTTTGAACTGCCTTGTAGGTAATTTGTGGATTTTTGCAGTTATTTTGCAGCCTTCTGTGGTCAGTTTATATCATTTTGTATCCCTTTGTGATTATTTGTTGTCTTTTTGTAGTAATTTTACATCCTTTCACAGACATTTTGTGTCTCCTTGGGGTTATTTAATGTCGGTGTGTATTTCCATGTGATTATTTTATGTGTCTTTGTGGTTGCTTTGCATTGTTTTTAAGTAATTTTGCAGTTATTTTGTCATTTTGTAGTCATTCTATGTTATTTTGTACCTCTTTATGGTTGTTTTGTGTCATTTTACAGTCAGTTTGCATTAATTTGTTGCAATTTTGTGTTATTTTATATTTCACTATTAATTTTGCATGTTTTTGTAGACATGTTGTGTCATTTTCCAACTATTTGTGTTCACTTTATGTCATTTTGTATTTGTTTTTTTAGACATTTTGAATTCTATAATGGTTGTTTAGTGTCTCTTTGCAGCCATTTTGAACTGCTTTGTAGTCATTTTGTGAAATTCTGTATCACTTTGTCGCCATTTGGTGTCTTTTTGTAGTAATTTTACATCCTTTCACAGTCATTTTGTGTCATTTTTTTATTTTACCAGAGCCATTTTGCATCCTTTTAGAGTCAATTGTGTCTCTTTGCGGTCATTTTGTTTCTCTTTGTGATTGCTTTTTGCCATTTTGCAGCCATTTTGAATTCCTTTCTAGTCATTGTGTATCTTGTTGAAGCAGTTTTGTCATTTTGTGTCATTGCATGTCTTTGTCGTCATTTTGCATCCTTTTGTAGGTATTTTCGGTCTCTTTGTGTTCATTTTATGCCATTTTGTATTAGTTTGTGATTGTTTTGTGCCTCTTCGCTGCTTTGCTTTGGAGCCATTTTGCATCAATTTGTGGTCATTTTGCATGTCTGTATTAATTGTGTGTCATCCTGTGACTCTTTGTGGTCATTTTGCATACTTCTGAAGTCATTGTGTGTCTCTTTGTAATTGTCGTTTGCAGCCATTTTATGTCCCTTTGCAGTGATTTTGTGGTATTTTATATCTCCTTGTGCTTGCTTTGTGTCAGCTCAGGCCCCTGTCAAAGATTTCGTTTTGTAGCAGGTCTGCAGGGTTTTCTTGTGCGTTACTTTAATCTAAATGATTAACCTTGTCTTGACAGTGACACTAGCTTGAGTCATGGGGGGTTCGTGGTGTCTCTACTTTACCTTTTCCTTTGGTGACATCAAACACAACTCCTTTAACTGCCATGTAAATAGGCTGCTCCTCCTACAACAGGGAGGGAAGAAACAACAATGGAAATTCTAGATAAATCGGTGTCATAAACGCCTGCGGGCTGCACACACCGACACACACACACAAACAAACACACCCTGGAGATAAAGTTACCTGAGTCCCGTCGTATCTCTTCAGCTCCTCCTCAGTAAATAACCTCACAGGTTTAGTTGCACGTTTGTATTTTAATTTAACTTCCTCCGCAAAAGTGGCACAAAGAACAATGAACAGGACACAAACTCCGGCTGTTGCCATGGCAGGTTCGCGGTCTGGACGAGTTTGATACGGAACCTCTGTCATGCACTTCCCTGTCTGCTGCTGCTGCTGCGTTTGCGTCCGTCGGAATTTACGATTTCAAAACAATTTACTTTTCTTTTGTTACCACATTGGGAAACTAACAGTCCTGTTTGCTTTGTAGCCTTGGATTTATTGACAGCTATCAACTAATTACCTTCATAATGAGGAAAACTAATGGAGAAAGCTATTTATGAATGTTTATTTGCATTTTGTTCTGATATTGACACAAATTGTTCTGATAATGTCAGCAAATACGATGAGATTCTGACAATTACAATCAGTCTAAAGTAAATAAAACCCAAAAACTTAACAAAAAGTGTCATACATGAAATTTTAATCTCTTACAATCCTTTCTAGTTGTTATAAATCTCTTTGCAGTCATTCTCCTTGCAGCCGTTTTGTGCATCTCTGTAGTTGTCTCATGTTTCTTGAATTAAAATGTTAAAGTGATTGGTCTGAGGCAAGATAGCTGCAACATTTAGAGTTTCTTGTCATGATCAGAATGTACCTTATTGTTAAAAAAGCAAAAAAGCCACAAAAGACATTAAAACTGGAAGCTTTTTTAAGTGCAATGTTTGCAAATACCTGTAAAATGACGTTTAACTGATTTAAATGTTAAAAAATTAAAAATAAATGTAAAAAAGACTCACATGCTATGAATCAATCCTTAATATACATAGTTTCTCTTTTAAATAATTGCGAATACCTGTAAAAATATGTTTTGGCGTTTATTTTGTTTTGTTGTTTGTTTGTATGTTTTTGTACAGCTAACATGTAAATTAATACTTTTGTTCTGTAATCTTATTAGTTGCTACCTGTAATTAAACAAAACATGGAAAAGCTGTAAAATAAAAGTTTATTAAGATTTTAAAAACATTTTTAGTCCTTGATATACAGAATCTTTCTTTAAAATAAAAGCAAGTATCTGTAAAATCATTCTGTTTTTGGCCAATTTAAATACAGTAAAACCAGTACAATTTTAAGACAAGACTGAGCCCCCACCGGGGAAATTTACAAAACTCAACACTTCCAGGTAGAGAATCGAACCGAAGTCTTCACAGGCGAAGATGCTGCTCACAATACTAATAAGAAAAAAAATAGTTTAAAAAATTAATAATGTCTATAATTTAAAAAAAAAATAAAATAAAGAAACATCCATTTTTAGATTTTTCTTTTCTTTTCCTTTCTTTCTTTCTTTCTTTCTTTCTTTCTTTCTTTCTTTCTTTCTTTCTTTTTAAATTTGAGGGCATTATTTACAGTTTTTGACTTTTTCTTTTTACAATTAACATGCAAAATTTGTATTTTTTCTCTAATTTTACTTGTTTTTTTGCGTTATATAACAAAACAGAGAAGAACTGTTTAAAAAAAACATTCATAAAAAGTACATTTAAAAAATTGCTGGAAGACATTCTTTAAAAAAATATATATATATATATATATATAAAATACGTTAAAGTGTTAAACAACATTTTAAACGTGACTATGTTTGTGAGTCTTCCTACGAGCACCTGAACGCAGCATTAGGAATCATTCGAAATGAAGGAAACGAGGAAACACGTGAAGGAAACACGATTTTCTGATCGTGTCGCGGCCTGTAGGAGCTTGATGATTGTGAGACGGACTTTTATCGAGGCGAGGAGCCGAGTGTCGGTGTGGAGCTGAAACCTGGAACCTAAACCTGCTTCAGGGGGGAAAAGCGTTCTTAAAAATGCAGCTTTTATTCATCAAAAGTCGTTTTTTACCGTCGCACAGATAATCTGATGAGACAAAAGTTCATTTAGTGGGAAAAATGCTCCGAAAAGAAAGAACCCGATCCTACCAGGAGGTGAGAATACAGCTGCTGTTGTCTTTCTGTGTCTTTTCTGTTGTTTTTACCCGTTAAAATCCGTAATAATCCGTTTATTTGAGCTGTCCGGTTGCTCTCGTCATGTGACCAGGCAGCTGAGAGCAGCACTTTCAAACTTCCCGAAACACGAGATTACAGATCTTCACGTTTCCTCTGAAGCCAAGCTGCACTTTTCTGCTCATTATATGCTTTAAAAATGTCCCCCAGTGTCATTATAGGAAAGGTACAAACATGCATTTACTAAAGTAATCCACTAAAACTACTAGAACGAGTCTTAACTTTACTGTCATTGTGGAGAGGTGTTGACAAGTGTTGGCAAGAGTTTGTGCTGTTTACTCCACCCTTGTTGATAGAAGTGGTTTGGATGTAATATGACAAAACACCTCTCAGTGTCATGCATTTGAGTGGGATTTTATAGTAATTATAATGATAATAATCTTTATTCATAGAGCACTTTTCAGAGTTTCAAAACGCTTCACAAGGCAGCAAAATAAAACAGATGAATGTATAAATGTGGTTGGATGAATCCCCCCCAAATTACTGGAGGAAATAATATGTCATCAATGCAATTAAACCTAATGAAATCTTATGTATATTTTATTTATTTTGTTTATCTACATAAAGTGTGTGTAATATTTTCTACTTATGGAAGAAGCTTTTCAATACGAGTGCTTTTTTTTTTGGAATAAGTTTGTGCATTATTATTTTACACATTCAAAGGAATCTGTGCAACATCAACACTATTTATGTATATGGCTTGTTTGCTTTTTAAAAATTTCCCCTACGTTTTATGCATTTATCCCTTTGCTGCTGTAACGCTACAAATCTCCCCGTCGTGTGATTTATGAAGGCGTATCTTATCTCGTTTAGGTGCAAATATTGATTATCGGTTTACTTCCAGATAATGACGTGGATCAATATTGGAATTTTGCATTAACCGCATTGAATAATCAATTCCAAATCGATGCACTTCCAAGCAATATCTGTAAAGAATAAATCTTTATTTTTAAATGAATGTCTCAGAAATACTCGTAGTAATTTGCAGCCAGTATATCTCTTAAGTAACAACACTTAGTTTTAGTTCTTGTAACTTGTTAGAATTCTAATATAAGCTTTGAAGAAATTTTTTTCTAATGCTTCCAAATGAAGTTTTATCTGTGAACCAAAATAATCCCAAATTAACTTTATAAAAATGCAGTTTCTCCAAGTTCATAACAAACCCCGGAGACACAGGTGTTATCCAACTTTATGACTGTTCTGATTTTAGGTTATGAGGAAGCCTCTTACTTCACTGACTTACTCAACCCGTTGGTCACTTTCCAAAACAAGGTTAAATAATAACTAATGAGCAACTGTTTTATAGTTCACAGGTTGTGTCAAGGACACTTTACTGCTTCTAATCTTGAGACTTTACAAATATATTTAAGAACTTTCTCCATTGTTGCGTGTCTGTGGTTCACTTCAATGCAGTTCAACGACGAAGACGATGACGATGAAGGTAACACTCGGTCTCAGGGCTTTTTTGACGACGGCGCCGAAGACTTGGACTGCGAGGAGCCCAACGGCAGCATATCCCAAGGTAGCAGAAGATCCTCTCAGACATATTATTAATTAGTCTCTGCTTTAATTAGCTGCAGGAGAGCAGATATAATATGAAGCATGGCGGTGGCAGCATCATAATGTGAGGCATGAGCAAAAGTTTACATCCACTTGTGAGGACCATGTGTATTATGGTAGTCTTGAGTTTCTAATGACTCCTATAATTCGTAATCTTCTGTAAAGGAATCATGAAAACACACATCTTTGTCACGCACACAAAAAAACAGGATTTATTATAGGGGTTCTGGAAAAAAGACAAGATGTCCTGGCTCAACAATATACATACAGAAATGCTAATATTTGGGTAAATGTCAGTTGGCCATTTTAAGCTTAACTGGACACTCAGCAGCCATGGATAAGCTTCTGGTTGTATCTTTGACCCTCTTCTTGACAGAACTGGTGCAGTTAAACAATTTATTTTGCTTTCTAACACAGACTTTCTCGTAGTTTAATCGTAGCAACTGGAATTGCTTGAGTTTCCTAAAGACATTTCACCTCTCACTGACTAGTTGGGAGTTCCAGATGTTCTTCAGGAGACATTAACACTGAGGGTTTGTTTCAGTTGTGGGTTTGTTGCTCCTCCCCCCTCGTTATGCGAGTTGTTCGTGCTCCCCCTGCCACAGTGGGGCTCGCTAAGGTCTTTTGTGGCTAGGTGTGAATGTTTCACACCAAGAGAACTGGTGAAGCCTCTTGGATGAGAGGTGAAACGTCTTCAAGAAATTCAAGCAAGTCCAGTTGCTACGATTAAACTACGAGAGTAACTCTGACCTGGATGACTGAGAATCTTCACAGACTTGTTTCTTTAGTACAGTCTACAGGTTCTTGATGGGGTTAAGGCAGGCCTTTGATGAGACCAGTCCAAAACCCTTAACTTTACCTGATTTAACCATTTCTTTACCACTTTTGATGTGTGTTTAGGTTTAATGTGTTGTTGGAACAAGATCCAACCTTCTGGCTGATGATTTTAGGTTTTCCCGAAGAACGTGGAGGTGCTCCTCCTTCTTCGTTATTCCTTCTATTTTATATAAAGCACCAAAACAGCTCCAGAGCATGATACTGCCGCCTCCATGCTTGATGGTAGTTTTGGTGCTGTTGGTGTTAAAGGCCTCACATTCTCTCCTCCAAACATATTTGTTATCATTGTGGCCAAATAGCTCAACTTTTGTTTCATCTGACCCCAGAACTTTCCTCCAGAAGTTTTTTGCTTTGTCCATGTGATCAGCAGCCACCTTCAGTCGAGCCTTAAGATGTTACTTCTTGAGGAAAGGCTTCATTTTTGCCTCTCAGCTCATGTTGTTATGAAACACTGTGGACACTGACACCAGTGTTCGAGCAGCTTCTAATGCATTGCAGAGCTGATTTTTAGTGATTCTCAGTTGACTCTTGACCATCCTGACCAGTTGTCTCTCAGCAGCAGGTGATCGTTTGTGTTTTCTTCCTGATCATGGCAGCGACACAACTGCACCATGAACTTTATACTTACAAACAACGGTTTGCGCAGATGTTTGCTGCTTTGAAATGACTCCACATGACTTTTTTAACTAGTTAAAGTCAATGATTTGCTTCTTCTGATCTTTGCCGAGCTCCTCAGACTTTCCCAGTGTAATGTTTGTGCCTAATGAGTTTATCAAATGGGCCTTTTTTTATTATTATTTTTTTAAATTGACACAACTGTACTGACCTTGTCTTTGGGATGATTTTAAATGTTCTACTCATATTTCCATTGCAGAGGACGACATCAGGGACAACAGTCAGTCTAGGAGGTTCAGTAAAACCTGCCTGAAGAACGTCTTCACCGTGGTGCTCATCTTCATCTACCTGTTGCTGACGGCGGTGGCGGTGTTTCTCGCCTACCAGACCATCTCCGACTTCCTGTTGAAGCTCAACCAGCCCGTCATGTCTGTCACCTACAAAGAGGTTGACTCGTTTTCACCCCCAGGTTGGTATAAATAACACAGTGTAAGGGTGAATTTGAAGGGTATTTCAGGACTATGACGGGTTTGTAAGGAGCAGCTTGTTTGGTGTTTGGGTAAATAGTCTGAACCACAGATTACAGACTGAAACTGCCTCTTTGACTGCGCCGCACTCTGTAAGGCAAAGTTACAAGATAGAAATTTAGTCTACTTATTTAGGCAAGGAAAGTTTCAACACCAAGGCAATTAAAACACAAAAACTACAAAAAGGAAGCCAAAGCAATATAAAAAAAATCATTTCTACACAATTAAAAGAGTTCAATAGAGATTAAAATAAATGGGAGTTTGTTACAGATATGTGGTGCATAAAAGCAGAAAGCTGCCTCTCTGTCTTTCATTTTCACTTCATGGACAGAAAGTACACCTGACCTAGATGAGAAGTCAACTGTTTAAGTTGCAAACATGACTTTTAATGAGTTGTTTTGACATAATAATGTTTGTAGTTGCATCAACTTTATATTGTGTTTAATTTTAGCTCCTATTTCTGCATTAGTTGATTTTAAACTAAATCTAAGTTGAGGTAATGAGATGAAATTGGCTCGATAACTTCATTTATCCTTTCCCTGTCTTGACATACCTGGGAAATCTCAGATGGTTAATTGAAAATCCAGTTGATTGTAGCGGAAAAGCTAATTCAGCTAATTCAATGTAGTTAGTTGGCTGAAGTTAATTTCATTAGGATTTGTCACAACTCAAAAAGATTGATGCAAATAGTTTTTTTTTAAAATGAGTTCTGCATTTCCTCTTAACTTCTCACATGGTTTCCATTCAAAAAAGTAAAACAACAACAACAACAACAACAACAAAAAAAAAAAACCAGCATCTTAGCAAAAATCAAGCATTAGAGAAAAAGTCCAAAAATCTGAACACAGATTTATGGATTGGTACGGAGCCCGTCTGGTGACACTGATAAGAAATAAAAAATAACTCGTTCCCACGCATTAGTAAATCATGGCCACGAGTTATTAATGCGTGGGAACGACATAGTTTAATTGTGGCCTCACATTACTAACATGAAGAAACAAGAGAAGCTGTGGAGCAAATTTCACAGTGCGGTCATACCAGCTGTCGATTAAGGATAACGGGCGGACTTGCATGAAACATGGAGCATTTTGATTTGATATCATTTTATTTTAACCTTGGAATGAACTACACCGATATCCTGCGATCTCTTGCGATGAAACACTGTGTGATAATTTTGTCGTTCCCACGCATTAATAACTCGTGGCCACGATTTACTGATACGTGAGAACGAGTTATTTTTATTTCTTATTGATGTCAACAGACGGGCTCCGTAGATTGGAACTTTGTTTTTTTATGATTTTTCTCCCATTATCTATCTGTCCTCAGATTTATCTGCTGCCCCTGATTATAAAACTGGACATAAAGTAATTCAAACCTGCAGCAGCTACAACAGTAATGTGATATGTAATAATAAATCAGTCAGAGGGAGCAAACCAGTGAAGCTACTTTTATACTTTAACTACTAAAAAGTATCTACTTTTATTTAATTAGGACTTTTAATGCAGGAATCTTACTTGTAATGGAGTTACATGTCTGTAATGGTACTTTTACTTAACTAAAGGATCTGAATACTTATTTCTACCAGCTGCTGCTGAGTAAATGTGTGTTTTAATAGGCTTGAAAATAGAAGATAGTTGTGTTCTGGGTGGAAATAAAGTCAGGGCTGCAGGGTGGCGCAGTTGGTAGCACTGTTGCCTCGCAGCAAGAAGGTTGCCGGTTCGCGTCCCGGTGGGTGCACCGGAATCTTTCTGCGTGGAGTTTGCATGTTCTCCCCGTGCAGCGTGGGTTCTCTCCGGGTTCTCCGGCTTCCTCCCACACAAAAACATGTTGAGGTTAATTGGTGATTCTAAATTGTCCGTAGGTGTGAATGTGAGTGTGCTTGGTTGTCTGTCTCTAAGTGTGGCCCTGTGATAGACTGGTCACCTGTCCAGGGTGTCCCCTGCCTTTGCCCTAAGTCAGCTGGGATAGGCTCCCCCCGCGACCCTAATGAGGATTAAGCGGTGTATAGAAAATGGATGGATGGAAATAAAGTCAGTGTATAAGTAGATGTGACTAACAAGTAAGAGTTGTTTCCAAGTTAAGGTTGCTTTGCTCCTTTATTACTTCACACTGTAAATAACAAACAGGCCTAATGTGCTAAACATAAAAATAACACGTTTTGTGAAGCGCGCTGCTGCCAAGTGTATGAATCAGATGTATTTAAACACAGTGGCACAGCTCCCAGGTAACACTTTCCGCTCTCATAATTGATTGTTGGCACCAAAATAATAACGCTTTTTTGTCAGATAAGGTAGATGTTAATAAAGTGTGGATAAAGTTAGATCCTCAACGTGGCCTTCAGTGAGCTCAGTGGCCACCAGAGGGTGTGTTTTATCATCTGAAAACTAGATAATCTGCAGTTTGTAGGAGTGACTTGATGAAATATTACAGACGTTTAAAGCAAAATTATCTTTTTATTTTGTATATCAAAAAGCTGGAGTATTAAAGCTTGTTTTGTTGTTTTGTGCTGGTGTTTTTTTGTGTAGTTTCCCCCTGAAACAATCCCCAAATTGTACTTCCTTCTCATCAAAACTGCGCATTAGAGCATGAATGAGACTCATTGTACTGTGAATCAGTAGTGCTGATGTTGTTGAACCTGTTCTGAAAACTCTCATTTGCAACTTCACCAAATTTGGTGCAACAGAAACGAAGCACAACAGTCATTTTAATCACAGTCAGACCAGGCAGTGTCTGTGCTCTGCAACCTTCTAAAAATGCTTTTAATAACAGTTAATTAAAGTTCCCAATGTTAAGTATTAAGCTCTCACAGTGCAAAAGTTGTAAAGTTGTTGAGCGCATATGCATTAATAACTGTGTTTGTTTCTTCCTTTGAGCAGGTATCGCTCTTTATCCCGGCAAAGCTCAGCTGCTGGGCTGCAAACACCACTACCACGACTACATCCCACCGCTAGTGGACCCCGGCAAGCCTCAGGAGAAGGACTGTGAGATCACACACGTGACTTACATCGGGCCGTTCACAAATCAAACACAGGTCAGATACATAGTGCCTGTAAAAAGGTTTCCCCTTTTATCACTTTTCAACACCGAATCCTGGTCAATTACATTTTTTGACAAGAATTTGCAATAAAAAAAAAAGACTCTTCGTGTCAAAGTAAAAACAGATTTCAACAAAGAAATGTCAAATATTTAAGAATATAAAAGGTAAAATGACGGACTGCATAAGTATTTGTCCCCTTCAAGTCAGTATGTAGTAAATGGACCTCTGGCTGCAGTTACAGCATTGAATCTGTTTTGGTCTCCATCAGCCTGAACATCTGGACGCTGCAATTTTACCCCATAATTCTTTTAAAAAACTGCTCAAACTCTGTCAGGTTACAAAGGGATCATGATTCAACAGCCGTTTTTAAATCTAGACACAAATTGTCAGTTGGATTGAGGTCTGGGCTTTGACTCGGACACTCCAGAACGTTCACCTTGTTGTCTTTAAACCATTTCTGTATAACTTTGACTGTTTGCTTCAGTTCATTGTCTTGCTGGAAAACAAGTCTTCTCCCAAGTTTTCTTGTAGAGTTGATCAGGTTGTCCTCCAGGATTTTCCTTTGCTTTGCTGCACTCATTTCAGCCTCCACCTATACAAGCCTTCCAGGGCCTGCTGCTGAGAAGC